AAGCATTGGGATGCTCACTGGCCTGGAAAACAAACATGGCACCCTACTCCCAGCCCCACCCTGATCCTCCTGAGTGTTCCAAGGAAACTGTTACTTTCCAGCAAGGTGGAAACTTGACAGGAGGAGTGGAAGGCAGCTGACACACCAGACTCTGGCCTCATGATTCAGCTTCTCCTTTAGGTCTTCTCTCACTGGTTCCTGCTACTGTCACCACACTGACCTTGGGAACCTCATTCCCAATTTTCAGGATCCAGGCCAATGGCGCTCACCCAAGCATCCCTCAGTGCTTGACAACACAGCAGATGCCAAACTACAGTGTTCAGACTGGGCGTTAGGAAAGGTTTTCCAGTAACAACACAGACCGTGATGCAGACCCGGATTACTGGGATGACAAAGAAGATGTCCCTCAGCTCCGGCCTGGGAGCCCGCTCAATAACACCTCCCTGAATCCAGGGTTCATTTTAACTCGGGCTACCATCTTCTGGGTCATTTAGATGTCATCAAGTCTCAAAACAAAGGAGTAAGGTCAGGAAAGGCAAGCGTGTCCTATCCTGCCTAATAACCACCTTCAAGTTCCCGGTTTTGGAGGATTGAATATGGAATGGCCATTCGTTCATTCATTCAACAAATTTTTATGGAGTATCTACTATGCCAGAGGATGGATTAATATGGAGAGCAAATGGACATGGTACCCTCCCCTCAAATCTGCCCATAGGACTTGACCTTAACCCAAACTCCCTGGCCTATAACCATCTTTCAATTTCAGTACAGAAACCTCAGCTTTCAAATTGGGCACATAGAGCAGCAAAAAGGGCACCATACATTCCTGACCATTTTCCAATGTCTCGATTCAAAGATATCTGGGCCTGGGGCCCCTGAGGGGAAGGAGCTAAGGAGAGGGTTATCAGGAGACAGCAAGGATTACCTTTGCCTATGGCACACACTGTGCAGCCACCAAGGGCAGAAACTGACAATCTAAATCAGAGACTGAGTCAGATTATTGACTTTAGACCCTCATACTAATAGAGTTCAGCAGTCTCTAGCTTGGCAACTCTCCAGGCTTAGCTCATGCTCTGTGCTGAACCTCACGCTTCCCTGCGCAGGTATGAAAAGCCCCTCTTCACGGAGCTGGGTCCCCAGCAGCCCCACGAACCCAGGGCCTCTTTTTCTGCTGCTTCCTTGGTACTCACTGAGTATAGGAGTCTTGTAAATCTCTTTTCCAGTCAGACAATCACCCTATGCACACAGGCCCAGGTCTGTGCCCAAGCTGTGGTGTCCCCTTTAAGCTCCATGAGATTCGACAAGAAAATCAATAGGAATCCCAGGCAATTACCATGCCACGGGAAAGCCAAGTTTCTGACCCAGGCAAGATGCTGCTCGTTGGCAGCCTAGAGATTGAAGGTAGACACCTATTGGGGAAATAAAACGGGCTTCACACAGACGTTAGTAATAGCAGGCTATGCTCCTCCTACACCTGGAGCTGGCCAGGGTGTGAGTAAGAGGCAGCTGGGACAATGGATGGAGAGGGGAGCACTGAAACATAGAGCTCGCTATTCAGAGTAGTCCATGGACCTGCAGCATCAGGGATGACCTGCGGGCCTGTCAGAAATGCAAATTTTCAAGCCCCACCCAGACCTACCAAAGTAGATTCTTGGGGTTGGGGTGGGGAGGCAGGAATCTATCTTTTTTTAACTTTTCCAGGTGATTCATATGCACACGTAAGCTGAAAAGTACTGTGACCCCACTATGCACACTTGATGGGCTAGTATAAGAGTACTACAGGGAAAAATCATAATCACAGCAGATCCCATTCTTTGATGATCTGTTTAATTTTTATCTAAGTTTAAATACACATAGATTATTTACACTTAACCCTCACCACAACCCTATGAGGTACTTTTAGTATCTTAGTTTTTATGGATGAAATTATAGTTAAAATACTTGTCCGATCATTTCTCTTTTCCAAGGCTCGTTTTCCTCGTCTGTACGCTGGGGAGAATAAGGCCTCGTTCCCCCGGTTGTTGTAAGGATTAGAGACAATGTAGGGTGGACTGTCTCCATTGCATGACAGGCTCAGGCCTGGCCACTGGGTACAGCTCCAAGGACCTGCCCTAGGTGGGGAAAGGCAGAGGTAGGGTTGCTCTCTCCAACCTGTGGCTCAGTCTGAGGCCTGCCCGGTGCGTGCTGGCCCTGACCTTCTCACTCAGCACTAAGAAGGCTTCACCTGCCATCCAAGTTCTATGTTTACCCTTCAAGAGAATCCATGCTCTCACCCTGATTCTATTTCTGGTTGATGACAACACAATCTATGTTTAGGATGATGCTGGGTTGTTCGAGGCAGCTGTTCTGAAGTTTGGAGCTACTGGAAAATAATCTCCAGCTAGATCTGGGCTTCCAAGGAAAGAAACTAATGCATTACTCTTTTTTTTTTTTTTAAGATTTTTTAAAAAATTGTTTTTAAGAGAGAAATTAAGCACACAGGCAGGGAGAGAGGCAGAGGGAGAAGTAGGTCCCCCACTGAGCAGAGGGCCCAATCTAGGACTCGATCCCAGGACCCTGGGATCATGATTTGAGCCAAAGGCAGACGCTTAGCTGACTGAGCTGCCCAGGCGCCACTAATGCATTTCCCTTGAGTGAAATAAAAGGGGAAGAAAAACCTTTGGTCTGAGAGGCCACTTTGGTACAACTATGAAACATGTCATTACTACAGGGGTCATCATCATGAGCCTCTTACTGGAGACCGGATGTCCACCATGATCCAAGGGATTAAGAGGCACTATCTCTGCCTCCTGTCACCCACAGCTCTGCCTCTTATTTGCCATATGACAAAAATATAGGTTTGGAATCGGATCCGACTTCATCACTTACAGGTGTGTGACATTGGACCACATCATGTAACTTTGTTGAGCCTCAAATTTTCCATCTCTAAAATGGATTGTTGAAGTAAAAGAGATAATGGATGTATAACTCAACCCACAGTAGGCACTTTACAAATGCTATTTCTCTTGCATCCTTCTTTCCTGTATGTGCTATGCCTGGCCTTATGGTGGGCAATGAAAACAGAGATGACTCAGACCAAGTCCCTTTGTACTTGAGGCTGAGAGTTCCCTCTTTTATACCCAGGCTGGATCATTCTTCATAGAATGGTCTGGGGCAAAATCAGAAGGTTGGGCAAAATCATGAAGGCTGCAGTTTGTTAAGAACAGGACAGAGGTGAGGTGAGATCGCTGTCCAGCCTTGCAGTGCCTTCCTCCGTGCGCCCCCCCAACCGCCTTCTCCTCCTTCCTTCTAATCCATCACCTTAATTTTCAGCATTTGACTGTCAAATGTCACCAATGCTGATGGATAATGGAGATAAAGGAGTGAAAGTTAATTTGTCCTCTATTTACACGACATTGCACCAGCTCCTAAGCCCTCTTGAGGATTCACTAGCTCCTCGCCTTAACTCCTGGTGGGTAGGAGGGCAAGGATTATCCCCCTGCTGTCGCTGAATAAATGGGTTCCCAGAGAGGGCCAATGGCTGGCACAAAGTTGCCCATCAGATCAGTGGCAAGCTCTAGGACAAAGACCTGGGACCCTTAGTCCGGTCCTTCCTCCATTCTCTCCCAAGGACTCTCCTGGTAGTGTACTCTTTAGGGAATGCTGTTAACTTCAGTAACTGCACTGAAAGGTAATGCGGTTCTGTTTCAGGTAGTGACTCACACACAGGTTGGGGTACCAAGTAACCAAATTTCCCGTGAACATGGATAGTCTTACTCTTTTACCAGCAAGTCTTACGCTTTTACCAGCAAGCGTATACACCCAATTCAAACTGGCTTAAGAGGTAAATAAAAATCAAAAAAGTTTGGGGGCGGGGCGGCACCTGGGTGGCTCAGTAGATTAAAGCCTCTGTCTTCAGCTCAGGTCATGATCCCGGGGTCCTGGGATTAAGACCTGCATCAGGCTCTCTGCTCAGCAGGGAGCCTGCTTCCTCCTCTCTCTCTACCTGCCTCTCTGCCTGCTTGTGATCTCTGTCAAATAAATAAATAAAATCTTAAAAAAAAAAGTTTGGGGGATTCTATGTTCCCTTAACAGGGAGAAGCCTAGTAGGGATCATTAGGACTGTTTCAGCGTGGCTGCATTCCTTCAGGCTTCTCCTGCATTCAGGTATTTTCCACCCATGGAGAAGACAGCTGTGGTTCCAGGCCTCCAACCTTCCATGTTAATGCTCCCAGTGGAAATGGTACTTGTCTGAAATGGTACTTTTTCTTTGAATCTGCTATTACTAAAGAGCTAGGAAGGTGTGGCAGTGGGGACAGCCTGATCAACCCAAACTCTGGAGAGGTTTTAAAAACAGAAGCCTCAAAACATGTAATAACGGTAACTAACAAATTTAAATCTATGGCATCAGCTCTTCTGTACTCCATTTTGGTATAAGGGTATCTTTTATAGTCATTGGACTTATTTATGTTTTATCTACTATTTATGGTGTTTGAAATTTCAAAAGGCTCAGCTATACTAAATTTGTAACTGGTATTTCTATTGAAGGCAGTTTAATCAAATTTGTTACTGCTTAAGTATTCAAGAGGTTTTCCATGTTTTACCGAATAGGAATTTAAGAAATTGAGCACCAGGGGCGCCTGGGTGGCTCAGTCGGTTGAGTGTCTGCTTTTGGCTCTGGTCATGATCTCAGGTTACTGGGATCAAGTCCTGTATCAGGCTCCTTGCTCCACGAGGAGCCTGCTTCTCTCTCTCCCTTTGCCTACCACTCCCTTTGTTTGTCCTCACTTTCTCTCAAGTAAAATCAATCTTAAAAAAAAAAGTTATGAAATGCAAGAAAAGGCCTCAAATCCATTTTTCGAAAGAAGCTGGGTACAAACTAGATGAAAGTATTAGGATGATAATCACCTCACGGTTTGACAACAACGAAACACACAAACAGCAGTCACCAGAATTAAGCTCTTTATTCATCTCCCTTGTTCCCAAGAGTTCTGGTAGTTTCTATAGAACAGAGGGCACTTTCAGCACTTGGGATCACAGAGCAAGACACATTCAGAACACTGAACCACGGCGTCAGTCCCAGAGTCCTGGAGGAGGGGCAGTTACAGAAATGCCAATTAGGGACAGAGGGGAAATATCACTGACATGAGAACCCAAATCTTGGCTTGGCTTTGGGCTTGGGCTGTAATCCTGAAACACCCAGGCAGGACTCAACTGAAGCCAGAGAAGAGCTCTTTAGGGACTGACCTGGAAGCAGGCCAGCAGAGAGAAGACCCATTTCAGGTGCATGTTCAGCGGGTTTAGAACGCTATCCAACCCGCAGAGGGAGGCAACCTACTCCTCTCTTTGCAGGGGCTCGCCCTGGCCCTCTCACTTAGCTCCAGAAGGCCAAGGATCTTTGATTCCTTGATCCACTCAGCAGAGCCTTACTGCTGTCCATTCTGTGCCAGGCCCTATGCCAGGGACAGAGGACAGAGAGAGGAATCGGGCACAGTCCTTACCTTCAGGGAATTCCAAACACAACAGAAAAAGCCTATATTAATAAAGAAATTATTGTAATTCCAGGTAAAAAAGGATAGAGAGAGGATTCATACAGACTTGGCCCTCAAGGAATTCACAGCCTAGCGGAGGCCTAGAGGGCACAAGACAGACAACAATAATACCCTGCACCCCATGGTAATGAGCAAAGGGGGGCCCCAACTGGGCACTGTGGGAGCACAGAAAGGGATGACTTGACACCTACCGCATAACGCAGTGGGGGAAACGCACAGCCTACTGCAGAAGACTGGAGAGCCTGAGCTGGCCGAAGTGGAAGTATTGAAGCCTACTGCCCTGGAGAGGAGGCGGGGCAGCCTCAGGTTGATCTCTGTGGGTGCCTCGGGTTCCCCAACAGACAGGGCGCTATGTCTCTTATCTACAGCTACTGTTGCATGATATCCCAAAGGACAGGACAGGAGGGGAGACTGATGACCAGGAGAAACAGATCCAAGGAAAGCGCCCAAATAAAAGCCCTGAAATGAATACTAGGGGCCTAGGAGTGAGGGCATCGGGAGGTGGGGAGCCTGAGCAGGCCCAGCAGCTTGAAGGGGTGGGAGTGGGTCTGGATACATATCAGCAGGAGGTGGCCCCTACCTATGCTTTCTTGCTCTCCCAGTGATGAGCCATGTGTGCCAGATGGATCCATTCTAAGGGCCCAGAGACAGGGTAGAAGCAGGTAGAAGCCTCTAGACTAGAGGCCTCCAGTCTGCTGTCCTCTTTTCTTCACAGCTGCCATCACCTGCCCTGTCTTTTTCACTCTCCCAAGCTGAGAGGGCCTGGAAGAGGCTTGGTTAGGATACCAGGGTCACGGGATAGGTCCCAGGGCCCTGAAGGCCTCGGGGAATGGGCACAAACAAGTCAGGAGTGCCTACAGCTGTCTCTGTTGGTCATCCGGAACGTGAACAAGCTAGGTCAGCTTCCGGTGACAGGGCCGGGGAGGAACCGGTCTGCAGCCTGAAGTACTGGCCTGTGCGGGCCGCACAGCTTGGAGTCAGCTGCCCCAGGGCTCCTCCCACACGCGTCAGGAGACACCCCCAGCCTGTTGTCATTTCTTCTTCACAGCAACCACCACCTACGCTGCCTCTCCGGCCTAGGTCTCTTATCCGGGCCACGTTCTCTTTCTTCCTAAAGGTGCTGGAACTCCTGCCCTGCTGTTTTCTTCATAGCTGCCACTGCCCACTCTTCCTCTCCCAAATCCTCATCCTGCAGCCAAATGCTCTACCCCTGAGCTCTACCCCCATTTAACCTCATTCTGGATTACCTCTGTCCCCAATCCTCTTTTCTTGCCAATCCTGAACGATGCACACAGGCCCTCCGCCTATTAGGAGTTTTACTTCTAATCACTAAGGAGAAGCAAACATAAAGCAAAGGGGAGGGCAATTCAGAGAAGGATAAGACATCTTTTGAGTGCTGGTCCTGGACATCTGTGGTCCACACTGGCATGTGACTTCCTCCTTTAGATCTTGTTGGAGAAGGAAGCCATCCCTGTTATTCCTATCTATTTGGGGGTACGATGCTCAGGAAAGATTTGCAGAACATGAAGCTGCTATGACTTAGGAGAGGGCTGCCCTTCCCCGGTTCCTCCCTGTACCACCAACTGCCACGCCCTCCACTGCCAGCTTGACGGAGATCTTCTCTGACAATGGGCTTCATACAAAGAAGCAGAGGTCAGTACGCCTTATCTCCCCCAACAACTGAAGGCCCTACATGCCAGACTAAATGAAAACACCCTTTGGCAGGCAGTGAAGAGCCACAGATGCTTTTCAACCAGGGAATGGCAACAGAAAAAGCACCTTACATTACAGACAGGCTCCCAAGAATATTTAGATAACTGTATAAATGAGTGAATGAGTGAGCAGAACTGCATACTGGGTGGATAACTTTGACAAATGGATGACAGGCTAAGGGAATTTTAAAAAGTCACTCTAAGCCATGGACTTAAGCCATATGTAGGTGAAGTCAATCTCTACTTTCATCCTAGAGGACTCTCCCCCATATGACAGGAGCAACCGCAGCCCCCAGCCTCCTGGGCTATATTCTACAACTAAGACTTGCTCTCTGGGCGATTACTCAGCACCAAATTTAGTTATCTGATACAAGTTGAAGGTATTTCTTCTCCTAAAATAGGCTGAAAAACCAAGTCTTTCGTGATCGAATTTCTGTTACAGCAACAGGCTCCGGGGGAAAGATTCTAAAATAAGAGCAACTCATCTGGTATCATCTGAGACACCCAGCCCTGGTCAATTTCAGCCCCAAACCCATCAGACAAAGGGGCACCCCTACTTCACAAATAGTGATTGTAATAGGTACAAAAAAAAATTGGCTTGATTCAGAGGTCTAGGGTCTGGAGACCTTCCTCATGGTGAAGACCTTCTCCATGAGTAGAGGAGTGGCTAGGCCAGAACAATATTCTGAGAAAAACAGACGTGGGGGGAACCCAGTGGCCGGCCAAGCCCTGGCAGCTGACTCCAAGCACAATGAAGATGTGACTAAGACAATGCTGTCAGGAGCTACCATAACCCCAACTTAAGGCCCAACATCTATAAACCAGCTGCATCGGTTTTCTTGAATTCTCTCCACTTCTAGCCCCATGAACTGTGAGCTCTTTGAGGGCAGAGACCATGGGAAGTTCTAGCCAATGCTTTAGAGTCCTAATCTACGACCTTTTCTCATCAGGAACCATTCTAGTACATGAACTTCAGGTTCATCTTTCATAAGAGTAACGCCCTCAGAAACAATAAGTACCATTATCAGGGGTCACTGGCCTTGCGTTTCCCATTTTCTTCCCAGGAAATAAGGGTTCTGGAGGAGGAAGGGAAGATTGAGCAGAGCTGCAAAGCTGGAGAAGGCAGGTGACCTCATGATTCTACTGTTCTGCCCAATTCCTCACACCTGCCCAGGTCTCACACCTGGACAAGTGGTGAGTCATTGAAAAAGCTGAGTCCTCTGACTTCCACTTCGAGATCAGAGTTCTATCAGAGACCCACGCAGTCAGGACCTATTGATTGTGGAGCATGTGGGCACTCTGCCTTTCCTAAGAATGGAAAGAAGAAAAATCACAGCACTAATCCTCTCATTTTACAAATGGGAAACCTGAGGCCCGGAGAGTTCGGGGGACATGTCCAAGGTCCCAAAAGCAAGCCAGGGGCACAACCAGGACCACATTATTGTTTCCCAACTCATAGTTCTCCCCACTGCAGTAGCTTTGGCATAATTTTCCTTTTGCTCTTTGGGGGAGAAGAGAAAAAATGTGGAGTGCAGAATATGAAGTTTTGGATTCTCTGTAGACTTCAACCACCTCTGTTAATCTGGCCTCCATTATCCTGGCTGTGGTTGCCTTCTGTGGTTTCCTTTCTATGGAAATTTGGGTCCTAAGTCAATTTTAGCTTTCAGTTGGCTCAGAGCTCCTACCAGGGCTGCAGCAGTCCTCGTGCATGTGGCTCAGGATCTCTCGGTCTGTAAACAGGCGGAAGGCAATCTGCTCACACTCTCGTTTGGTCCCACACTCAAACAAACACCCAAACAAGCCCTCCTTTTCCAAAGCAGCCAAATCAGAGTAGCCACAGGGCCCGCAGTGCAAGATCCACGGGCGGGACCAGCAGGCAGCCCCCAAGGGGGTCTGGTTGAGGTAGATGCCTAAGTTGACCCTCCGCTTCTTACTGGTGGGGTGTGAGTACAAGAGCCAAGACTCAGACAGTGGGCCGGCTTCCTGCTCTAGCCTCGGTGAGCTGTCCAGCAGAGGGCTCTGCTGACCGATAGGAGCATCTTTGCCATTAGGGTCCTGGCACCCTTGAAGGATCTCCATGGGCCGGAAACTCACCACACTGCCTTGGCAGCCATGCGGGGGCTCACAGAGCTGAGCGCTCAGGGCTGGTCTCTGAAAGTATTCACCATGGTTAACGCTGAAAGCCTCTGCCCGGCACCTGTTTGGTGTCCGGGCGCTGCAGTACAGCACGGGGTCGCCCGCCCTCCCGGTCACTTCTGCCACTTCACACTCCACGGTTGCCATGGGCTTAATGAGGCTGCCATGGTGCCAGGTGGCCCCCAGGTCATCACTGTAGATCATCAGGGAATGAGGCTTGGCTTTACATGGTAGCCGGAAGCAAAAGAACCAGTAAGGGATGTAGTAGGCATATGCAGGGATGACCAGCCTCCCCGACTGCAGCTGGATCCCATGACCCGGGCCCACAGCAAATGTGGCCCAGCGCTTCACCTCGGTGCCAATAACCTCTTCAGTCAGGTCCCTCACCTCGCTCCACGAACAGCCAGCGTCCCGACTGCAGATGAAGCAGAGGCGGGCCGCATTCCTGCCTGACACGACCTGCTGACGCTCGGTGACGTGGCCCCGCACACAGATGAAGAATAGGTACACGCAGCCACTCTTCTGCTCCCACACAGGACAGGGGTTCATGGTCCGATGCCCGGGTAGTGTGGCTTCCATCAACGGCAGCAGAGGTCCCCACTAGACGAGGCGAAGGGAGAGAGAGCAGGAGTGAGAGACTAAGAGGAAGACATGAGGCTCAGTGAAAGCATCATTTTTCAGTGATAAAAAGTAACTGGTATTAGAACCTATGAAATCATGTCATATTCACCAATAGTCACTAATTCTCAAATATTACAGGACAATTTATAAAGCTGGGAAGAGGCAACACTAGATAATGTATATGCTGTCCTCTGTCTAGAACACTCTTCCACACTTTGTCTAGATGCCCAATTCACCCTCCAAACTCAAAAGTCACCACCTTCGTAAAGCAGTCTATGAAACTTCCTCCCCCCCATCCCTCCCAAAAGCAATTGGTGGCTTCCTCTTTGTACATACAGAAGAGTTTTAGCACTTATTATATAATAATCATAATTTTTTATGTGACTGACTGACTTCCTTCCTTCCTTCCTTCCTTATGAGTCTTTTGAGGACAGAAATCAAATTATTCTAATTTTGTATTTCTAGTACCTAGCACATGATAGGAGCCAAATAAATATTTTTTAAAAGTAAGAAAAAAGGAAGGAAGAGGGGGCAAAAAAAAAAAAAAAGAAAGAAAGAAAAGAAAATGAAGAAAAGCAAGCAAGGTGGACAAATATAGAATTTAGGCAAATAAAGGGAAATTTTTTTTTAAGATTTTATTTATTTATTTGGCAGACAGAGATCACAAGTAGGCAGAGAGGCAGGCAGAGAAAGGAGGAAGCAGGCTCCCTGCTGAGCAGAGAGCCAGATGCGGGACTCGATCCCAGGACCCTGAGATCATGACCTGAGCTGAAGGCAGAGGCTTAACCCACTGAGCCACCCAGGTGCCCCAAATAAAGGGAAATTTAAAACAAAGTTTTTTTTCCTTCTACTATCCTGGGAAGGCAATTCATAACACTGTCATTAAAAACTCAAGCAAGGAGTCAGATAACTAGGTCGAAGCAGGCTTTATCACTTTTTGTGAGACGTTGGGCAAGTTACTTAAACTTACTTTACTTCAATTCCTTCATCAGTTAAATGGAAAATGTAGTAACATGCTCACACAGTAATAACATGCTCACAAAGGAGTTGGTGTAAAGCTAAAATGAGATAATGCCTAACGAGACGTATCACAAAGAAAGGCCTGATTTCCTTAATATATTTTAAAAACTTTATTAGAAATTGGTAAGAGGGGCTCCTGGGTGGCTCAGTCGGTTAAGCCTCTGCCTTCGGCTCAGGTCATGATCCCAGGGTCTTGGGATTGAGCCCCACATTGGGCTCCCCTGCTTCTCGGGAAGCCTGCTCTCCCTCTCCCACTCCCCTTGCTTGTGTTCCTGCTCTGTCTCTCTCTGTCAAATAAGTAAATAAAAATCTTAAAAAAAAAAAAAAAAGGAAATTGGTAAGAAAATTTCCAGAAACCCAACTAAAATGGGCAAAGAGCAAGATCAGGCAACTCACAGAAAGAGGAAAAAACAATGAAAATATGTTTAACTTCACAGATAAAAGAGAAAAGCAAATTAAATTGATGTCATACTTTTCATCTAATAAACTGGCAACATCATGAACACATCATGAACTTTGACACTATTCTGTTGGCAAAAATGTGAAGAAACAGGCACCCTCTTACATGGACCGAAGTGCAAAATGGTTCAGTATTTATGTAGGGTATATCAAAATTCCAGACGCATTTATCCTTTTCCAGCATGCCCAATTCTGGGAATTTATCCTAAAATATCTCTGCTCATCTAATTAAGTATATACAAGATTACTCACTGTGGCATTGCTTGGAACATCAAAATATTCTGCATCCAAATATCCATTAACAGGGGACTGGTTAAATGAACATCCAATGCAAGAGATGAAAAAAGAATAAGGAAGGCCTCTACACACTGAGATAGAAAGATCTCCATAATATATTGTTAAAGGAACAAAGTACAGGCCAATGTATGTAGTATGCTACTTTTTGCATAAGAAATCAGAAGAAAAATCCTTAACAGCAAACTAGGTAATTTGAACCAAGCTTCCCACTGAGACTAGTGAGGACAGATAAAACCTTAAAGCAAAACATCTGGTTAAAAGCACCAGAGAGGAAATAAGACAGTGAAAAGTTATAGGCCAAGAACAGAGAGAAGTTCATTCAGACACACTGGCCTGGTATTTCAAGTCTCTTTTCCTTTTAGCGTGTCTCTGCTGATTCTCAAAGAGAGAACTGAAAAGCTGAGAAGCTGAACAATTTGTTTGGCAGCCATATGGGGCTAGGAGAACAAAAATTTGGGGGCCCTGGTAAACCCCCATGCTTTATGATGGAACTTTAAAGAGCTAAATGCACAGAGTAAGGGTGAAACTGATGTATACCAGCTCTCACAACCACCATTCTAGAAAACTAGATGGCATTATCTACTGAAGTGGAACATAAACCTACCCTATGATCCAGTAACATCATTTCTAGATAGAAACCCACCAAAAATGCACATACGCCATAGCAAAAACACGTACAAGAATATTCAGAGCGGCCTGTACACAACAGTTCAGATAAATCTCAAAAATACTGAACAAAAGAAGACAAACATAAAGAATAAAGATGAAAAACAGGCAAAACTGGGGCACCCGGCTGGCTCAGTCACTAGAGCAAGTGACTGTTGAAGGGGCATGAGTTCAAGCCCCATGTTGAGTGTAGAGTCTACTTTAAAAAGCAACAACAACGACAATCAAAACTAAGCTCTAGAGCTATAAATCAGGATAGTAATTACCCTCGAGAAAGAGAGGGAGGATAAGAGAAGTTTCTGAGGTGCTGGTAATATTCTATGTCTTGAGCTTAAGTGATGAGTCCACAAGTGTTGGCTTTCTCAATTCACAGGGATAACATTCATGTATTGTGCATGGACATTTATGTTTTATGTTTTCTATCTACATGTTATCACTTCATGTTAAAAAGTTTCAAAGTGGAGCATTAAGAATATATACTCATATTTCTTTGTTTCTGTAAGAAGCAGCACTAGAAGGGTAGATAAGAAACAATCGTGACAACCTATAGGAAGTAGGGCAGCAAGAATGGGATATATATCTTTTTATAGCATTTTATATCATATATGCCACATGAATGTATGTGAAATAAAACATTTAATCCCTGCATAAGTAAATAAAATCTTAAAAAAAAAACAGCAAACATAATGGCCAACAAGCATAATGAAAAGATAGATACTCAGTATCACTAATAATTAGGGAAATGGAAATCAAAACCATGATTAGATATCACCTCATATCTACTAGGATGACTACTATCAAAAATAAATAATGGGGCACCTGGGCAGCTCAGTGGGTTAAGCCTCTGCCTTCGGCTCAGGTCATGATCCCAGAGTCCTGGGATCGAGCCCTGCATCAGGCTCTCTGCTCAGCACAGGAGCCTGTTTCCTCCTCTTTCTCTGCCTCCTGCTCTGCCTATTTGTGATCCCGTTCTCTGTCAAGTAAATAAATAAAATCTTAAATAAAATAAAAAATAAATAATAATAAGTACTAGCAAGGATATGGAGAAATTGGCACCCTGTACAGCCTTGGTGGGAATATAAGATGGTCAAGTCATTGTGGCAAACAGCATGGAAGGTCCTCAAAATATTAAAAATGGAATCACCACATGACCCAATAATTCCACTTCTAGATATCTACCCAAAAGAATTAAAAGCAGGAGATATGTGCATTCCCACGTTCATAGCAGCATTATTCACAATAACTAAAAGGTGGGGGAACCCAAATGTCCATCAACAGATGGGTGGGTAAACAAAATTCGGTATACACACACAACAGAATATTATTCGCCTTAAAAAAGAAAGAAATCCTGTCACATGCTACCACACAAATGAACTTTCAGGACATTAGGCTAAGTGAAATAAACCAATCACAAAAAGGCAAATACTGGATGAGTCTACTTATATGTGTTATCTAAAAACTCATAATAGCAAAGAAGAAGGGTGGTCATTAGGGGCTGGGGGAAGAGGAAATGAGGAGTTGTCCAAAGCATATAAAGTAGCGGTCATGCATGATGGAAAAGCTCTAGAGATCTGGTGCACGACAGTGTGCCTCTAGTTAGCAATACTGCAACGAACACTTAAAACGGTTAAGATAGAAAATTTTATGTTAGGTGTATTTTACTATAATTAAAAATTGTTTTTAAAAAACAGCAAAAGTGAAAAGGATTCAGAGGTTTTAGCTGACCGTCTACTTGATGTTAGTCACCCTGTGTTGACTAAAGCAGATGCTTCTTTATATTAAAATTGCTTTAAAGAAAGGTTAAAAAATGGGATAGCAGCCTCATTGCTGAGCTGGTCAGGCTACGAAAAAAGACACTGACATCCCAGATCAAATCCCAAAGACAGTAATCATGGCTTTCATGGGACAAGAAACCAAATCAAGACTGTGGCCCCACAAGCCACTAAAAGGACTAAAGCTGGTGAGCCCCCAAATTAGAAGACCCGGAGGGTATGAACATCAAAGAGCATTCTCTGGAAAAGAGGTCTCAGGTTATATATAGATGAGATGTCCCAGAAGACCAATGGGTGATTTGAGAGAAGTATAGTTTGTCTCTCTCCCAAAACAAAAGTTAACAGTTGCCACAGGATCAAGTTCCTCACTCGAGATGTTGTGTAAGCAGACCCTTTATGGAAGATGACTAATGTTGAGTTCCAACTATGTAACTGCTATTATTAATTACATTTTACAGATGATGAAACAGAGAAGAGTCAAATCCAAGGTCACACGGCCATTAAATGGTTAGGTCTTGCCTGACTTCAAAGCCATGGGCTTAACCCCTAACTAAGCTCTTAGTAGCTACCAAGGGAATACAGAACATCTCTGCACTGGGCAAGAAGTTAGGCTGATCATTCTTCTAACTTCCAGATTCTACAATCAGGTAAGTCAGAGAATGAAAGTGATAAAATACAGAGAAGAGAGAAGGATTAAAATGTACAGGTCTGTGAATGTGAGACAGCTGGGCAGTGAGGTGATGGGACAGGCATGGTCTGGTAAGAAGTGGTCATGTTTCTGTGGGTAGAAAACCAGGGCAGGTTAGGGGGATGAGAAGGCCTATTACAAAGACATCTATGTCTGTTTGTTTGTTTACAAAAGACTCTCAAATTCATTGTCTCGTTGATCCACACTTGAGCCAGCTCTGCAGAAAAGACAAATGGGAGTCCCAGAGTCCCAGAGGCAGCAATCACTCTCCTCTAAAAAATTCAGTGAAGATGAGCCCCTTAGAGGTGAGAACTCCAACGCCAGCTCTGTTGCTTGAGATGCCTGTGCCAGAGGCAAACCACTTTAATCCCATTTCCGCCTGTACTATGGGGCTGCTATGCGCCTCACATAAAACACGCAGGAAGACGAGGATCATTTTTTTCCTTACCCCCACCATCTGCTAGCTGTGGTCTTGAACAAGCTACCTACCTCCTGGAGGACCAGGATCCCTCACCAGAAAACTGGACTAACAGTGCTTACTTCCCCGGGTGACTTATAAGAACAAAAGAGAATGTGAACAAAAAGCACACCGCGTGTTAGCTGAATCTGAATGAACCGCAGAGGCCCCTGGAATCCAAGATGGAGTTTAAAGCCTGCGTCTGCTGTTTCATTATAGTTGTGTGACCTTGAACATGTGGGAATGTCTCTGTGCCTCAGTTTCCTTATCTGTTAAACGTGACTGACCACCGTTCCTATGTTACAGAGGAACTATTGAGGATCCAAAATGGGCCTGGCACACAGATGTACTCAGTTAAGTGAGAGCCATTGCTTTTACTGTTTTGGGGGGTTTGTTTTTCCTTCCTTCCACACAGGGCTTTTCCAGAGCGGACAGGAAAGGGCAGAGACCCTCAAGCAGTCTAAGCAATGTGGAGAGAGACTGAGGCTCGGAGCCAGATCTGGGATGAGGAGTCACCTGTACCGAGTGCCCAGTCCTCAACCCTCGCCTCAGCACCAGGTGGAGAGCGTCCTCGTCCCTGCTCGTGGAGCGCTTCTCTGCAAAGGCCAGGAAGGTGTGGGTGGGGGGGATGTAGAGCAGGGCTGGGATCCGGTAGGTGACCCCTCTCTTGTCTTCCTGCTGGAACAGAGGGCTGTTGGAGGAGCACGATGTCACTTCTTCCATGACCTCTGTAAGGATAGGAGGCAGCTAAATGTGTGTCCGTCCCCCAAATGCTGCCCTGCGTACAAGTTCCGCTCCATCAACCCATTTCTGGAGATCACACACAGGGAGGGAGAGACTTACTCAAATGTTTATTTTTTTAATCCAAAGTCACATTCATGGTCTCAAAAGCATAAAGCAAGCAATACACATGCTCATGGAACAAATCTATCCTCCAGACTCTATGGAAATCTGACACAGCCAGTGCCCAGTATGTTTCTCCAGAGATTCGTGCATGTACTTCTGCCAGGCGTCCAGGGGTAACACTGGCCTGGACTGTTTCTAATGTCAATTTCTTTGGAGTTCTTAGGCCATTTGGGTAATGTAAATATAAATCCAAATCCACATGTGGAAATGCCTGTGGTTAAGGATTCTCTGGGGAAACATCCTCCCTCTACTAGAGCCTAGGACATGAGGCAATCTTCTTTGTCATCTCTCCATGTCAGCAGTGAGAATCCTTTTTGCCTAGTCCACCCCATCAAAGGGTGTGGACTTGCAAAGGACCTAGCTTCACGCAGGGATCTCGGTTCCTGAGAACCTAACCTATGTGGGCCCATCGTAGCAATCACTGCAACAGCAGGTCTGTTCAAGCCCAAACTACTAGGTAGGGGAGACTAGCAAACATCCAGGGCAGCTGAGCTCAGGTTAAGGGGCTAATTACTCTGGTTTTCAGTTTACTCTTGGTTTCTAGGCCCCTGGGAATTTCTCCTATCTCCAGGCAATTTCAGCTCTAAGGGATTTTATTATATTTTATCCACCATGGTACAGGTTAGCTAGCCATTAATGCTGAAATGGAAGTCTCCACATACACTTCTCAAAGAAAATCAGGTACTCTACTTCTCAGAGGCCCAAAACAGGAGTTAAGCCAGACAAAACCAGGCTTAGAATTCTTTTTTCTTTTTCCCCCTCTCTCACCATCTGTCATCCCAGCCTTCTCTTTATAAATCACTTGTAAAAAATGGTCAGGCTATAAAAACAAGGCTTTATTCATTTATTTAATAAATATTTCTGGGTGCCCACTCCCAGTCGGGCCATAAGGTAGGTGCTGAGGCGACAGAAAGGAATCAGAAGTCCCTGCTTTAAAGAAATCCGCATCCAAGTGAGGGAAACAGACATACACGGACAATTACAACGTCATGCGGTGTGTGCCACTTGAGAGGTAAACGTGAGAGTGTGGAAGAAAACAGAAAAAGAGCATCTGTCCAGATCAGGGCAGCCAAGTGAGCTCCCGTCTCATATCCTACACTCTGTGCCTTTCTGGTACATTCTCCTTTCAAAAAACCAAGAGCTCACTCCCTCAACTCCTTCAGCTTTGTTCAAATGTCATCTAATTGAGGTGGCCTTCCCTGACAACTCTCCCCTCTCTCTGATCTCTTGACCATGCCACTAATCCTCCAGATCATACCTGTTTAATACAAACTACAGAACAGAAGCCCCATGAAGGGCAGGGATTGGTCTGTTCTATTCTCCGCTACATCTTATACCCAGGACCATGCCTGGTAATTGATAGGCACTTGATGAATATCTGTTGAATGACTGAATGAATGGGCAAGCTGGATCCTAAAGGGTGGTCAGCCAGTTGGAGGGGGTGAAAAGGGCAGAGGGAGTGGATGTGAAAAGCCTATAAAGGACAGAAAACAGAGTGAACTGTGGGGACTATCGGTCATGCGGTAGGACTATAGTGGAGTGCGAAGGTGGGACTGATCAGGAGAGGCTGGATACCTTATTAAGGTGTTTATCCCACAGAGAGGGGGCCACTCGAGAGTTTTTGGCAGAGGAATGGCACGATCAAGTATGCATTTTAGACCAATCTCCCATATAACCTGTAGGTAATAAACGGAAAGTAAAAGTTGTACTGCTTTCGGCTATAGCTGCCTAGTGTCAATCAAGACAAACTTATCCACGGCATAGGAATGACTCATGTGTTCACTTGTTCCTAACTTAAAAGAAAGAAGAACCATGGCTCATTATCATGAGGCGGACTGGGCTGGGGGGTGGCCTCCAAGGTCCAGAAGAAAAGCCTTTCCTCACTCCAATTCTAGGCACTCAGTAGCAGAATTGAAAAGCAAATGAGAACTGTCTTCTTCCCACAGTGCTAGAGCACACCTCTCTCTCCTCAATTCAGGCTCTCCTCCACAGAGGATCCGGCTTTTTCTAAGTAAACATCTATCCTGGAGCCAAGCTGTTTCAATGGTTAAGAACACAGGATTTGGGCAACACTAGGGACTACATGACCTTGGATCTGTTATTTAACTTTCCTAAGGCTTCAGGATCTTCATGTATAAAATTCAGTAAAGTTGCTGAGAGAATTAAATTAATAAGTTAAAGTGGCTGTTACAGAGCCCATGACATAGTATGAGCTCAATATATGGTGGTTATTATTTTCAGACTGTCAATCAATACACATTCTACACTTGACTTTTCAACAACACAGCGACCAGGGGTGCTGACCACCCCCACCCTGGCAGTCATAAATTCATGTATAACTTTTGACTCCCCCAAAACTTAACTATGAATATACTACGCTTGACTGGAAGCCTTACCAATAACATAAAGTCAATTAGTACATAATTTGTATGTTATATGTATTATATACTGTATTCTTATCATGTTAGAGGAAAAAAATGTTAAAATCACAAGTCAGAGAAAATGCATTTATAGTACTGTACTATATCTATGAAAAGAAATGCTTATATAAGTGAGACCATGAGGTTCAAACCTGTGTTGTTCAAGGGTCAACTGCAGTTTTATTCCTTGAAATCCGTGGGTGATGATGATAATAGTTAACAACTCTCCTTCTTAAAAGCATTTTAATCCCTCTATGTCTCTGGGAAAGATCAAATTTTGAATTCTTGTGAGCCAACTCTCTAATTATGAGTTACTACCAACACTGTTAATCGTCAATCAACACATGATTATTAGTTAACATGGAAAGAGAAGTTCTCTGGGCGATAAGCATGGAGTGGGGAGATGGGACTAGGAAAAAGGAAAGGGAGAGGAAAGGGGGAGAGCACCAAAGCAGAAGCACAGCTTGTCAAAGAGGACCTCATTGGCATCCCAGCTACACTTCTGTGTGACCTTGCTTGAGTCACTTAATCTCTCCCGGTCCTGGACTCCTTGTTTGTAAAATGCGGTAATAGCTACCTAAGATGACCAATATGAAGAACCACTCAAAAGTGCCTTATAAACTTTAAAGTACTATATAAGTAAAAGTATTATAAATTTTGAGGTCTTCACAATTTCACTTATGGCTTTGCTATCCCTACAACAACTGGAATCACTATCATTACTTGTTATTATTTATTAATTTTTATGAATTTTATGAATTTTTGTGAATTTTATAAATTTTTATGAATTTTATAAATTTTATGAATTATGATTATGCTGAACATGTTGATGACAGTGGCTCGACAGTGATGACAGTGGAAACGAAGGATAGAGAAGAATCAGATAGAGTTCTGCTTTGGAGTTGGGTCATTTTAGCCGAGAACACAAGTTATTAATTGCTGCTCCATATGATCACCTATCAATCAAGTCCTCCCTGCTCTCTTAATGGGAAAGAGTATAGTGGGGCCTGGACTTTGAAGTCTGACTTACTTCTGTACCTCTGTTTCCTCACTTGTAAAGGGGATAATGCCACCTATTTCTCGGCACTGTAATGAACAATGTAATTCCAAAGACTCTAGTTAATTCAGTGCACCAGGCAGCTTCCAGTGAACCCCAGAAGGAGGCCTTCCTAACTCATTTACTCCTTACAACTCATACTTAAACAGCACCCATCCTTTGTCACGCCTTTGGAGATCTAGTACTCCAAACCCCTCTCACTGTACACATGGGAAAACTCAGGCCTACAGTGGGGAACAGCAAACCTGGACCAAGATTCAGGTCCCTTAAGTTCCAGCTGGGGACTCTCCATGATCCCCACACCCCTCTCTAGAAAGAAGGGTTGCTCCAAGCTCAGTTCCCTTTCATCTCTAAATGGTAACTCTAAGGTTTAGGTCTGGCTTCACTGGAAGGAAAACAAAAATAGACCAGCCAAGAATACTCTGGCCACGTCTGAGATCCTAGTCGACTGCGTGGCTCTGACTCAATATTCTCCCCCAGACTGTATTTCCTAAGCCCAGACGGTGCCGCCGAACCTGTCCCCACACTCACAGTGCCCCACTTTTGGGGAATCTCTGCAGTGTCGCAGCCCCGCTCACCTTCGCGGGACCCCGGCTCCTCCATCTCTCCGGGCAGAGCTGGGCGCCGGGCAGCCCTCAGGTCTCGGGACACCGAAGCACGGGAGAATGACCCAGGCTAGGGAGACGGAGGCGGGGGTTGGGAGTGGAGAGAGCGAGACTGCGGAGGACTCGGAAGCAAGCTACGAAAACTAAAGAAACTGGGCGACAAAACCCACGGGGAGGCAGGGAGACCGACAGACCCCAGACGCCCCGAATAGCAGGCGGGGAAGCGGAGGCGGGGACGCGCGGAGGCCGCTGACAGCCGGCCGTTGGACCTGCCGTTGGCTCCTCCCCAGACTCAACCCCGCCCCGTGAGACGGACGCAGTCGAGGCCCTGCCCCCGCCCCGCCCCCTCTCTGCCCAGCCGCGGCCACGCTTTCGGTCTCTCACCTCTAGCAGCATTCCAGAAGCGATGTGGGACCTACCCCTTGCTCTCCGGCCACCACCCGCTCCAGCGCAGCCCTGAGTTTGGTCCAGGCCCTGGGCCTATCGCGGGTCCCACAGGCCGTGGAGCTCCCTGGCTCCGCCCCGCACCCTTCTATTTCCTCCCCCTCCTTGCCTCCCTCCCCTCAATGCCCTAGCTCCACGCTCTTATCTATTGGGTCCCCTGTCAGTTGATAGGTGTCACCGCCTAAAATTTCCCCGGACAGCATGAGAGCCAAAAAAAGGTTCCGGCCGCCAAGCGAGGACTCCGCAAAAAGGACGGGAGATCTAGAGCAATGGGCACCCGCCCTTAAAAAAATAAAAATTATATATATAATTTTAAATGTGTGTGCATGATTATATATTGAGTGCGAAAAAAGTAGTATTACAAGCCACTGAATAAAAACCCATGAGTTCATACTGATGTAATTGAATAAATGGAGGAGAGAGGACAGCTCTTTCTACACTAGAATTCCAATTAATCAGTGTAGACTGTGCACAGACTGAACACAATATGATTTATTCTGAACACCTGCTTTTCTTCTGGGAGTCTGGAATTTTGGTACATGCTAGGAAAGGGTGTCCACACACCAGCCCTCAATAAAACTGTGAGTGCTGAGTCTCTAACAGATTCCCTAGACAGAAACATGGTACATAAGCTGCATTTTCCTTGCTGGGGGGAAAGTGCGCTTAGTGCAACCCCTCAATTAGAGGGAGAAGCATAAGAAATACTATACATGGATTCTTTCAGACTCCGCTTGTGTATTTTTCTCTTATGATCCCATGTGTCCTTACTACATTGCTGTAATAAATCTTAGCTGTTAGCCCAACAATAATGCTGAGTCCTGTGAGTCCTTCTAGCAGGTCTGTGAACCTAGGGCTACTCTTGGGAATCCTTAACCAAATACCATGTATAGTTTTAAAACATATAAAACAATAACATATATTAATGGATGGACATGAAGAAAATGCATAGGAATAATAAATAGCAAATTCAGGGTAGTAGTTACTTCTGGGAGTGCAGGGAGTAGGACCTCATGAAGGATAAGGACCTGATAAGGATAAGAAGTCCTGATTAAGGACTTCAATTGTATTGGTAGTTTATCTTAAGGTGGTTCGCTTTATTCTTCTTTAAATCTTATTGTTGAAAATGTTTTATTAAAAAATTTTTTTCTAAATATCTTCGTTTTCAAAGATTGGCTCATAGAAAGTCCTAGGGTTCTTCACCCAGACTTCAAACTCACAATCACCAACTCTGTAGATCACTCAACTAGTCAATTTAAGAAAAATATCTAAAGCTAATGCCAAATTTTTCTCAATTCTTCTTTGACTGGTGGTCTCAGTCTTATGCCTGAAACAGTGAGTAGCAATCGCTATATCTGGCGGGGAAGAGATTTAAACCTTGACTTCCCACTCCTAAACTCAGTAATGTTGGCAACTTATTTAACTTCTGTGCCTTAGGTTCCACATCTGTAAAATGGACACACGTGGCACTAGTTCTTATTCATAGCTCAGATCAAACAGGTTTCACTTCCTATAGGAGAACCTCTCAGGCTTCCATGGTTTAAGTTACTCCTCTTCCAACCCTCACAGCAACTTGTACAGATGACTTCTGATGAATTTTCTACTGGCCGCTGATTAATCTGACAGAAATGGGACCAAATCCCTTCTAATGGTTTCATACAGAATTTAATTAGCATTCTATCAACAGAACTTCAAGCAACAGGATGAGACCAATCTACAGAATTGGTCAGAACTCGATCAAGGGCCAGAACTCAAATAGCTAGAAAAACGACATCCAAAAAAACCCCAACCATAAGCCATCAAGGTCTGCCTTAGAAATCCGGTGGCTTTCTCTAATTCCTGTATTGGCTCTATACCCAGCCTGAGGGATTAATTCAGGTACAGCAGGATATACTTGTGATTGGAGACCTACCTTGGCCCACAGAGAAGTCGAGTGCCATTCTACCAACCATAACCACATTGGCCAATATGCTGAGGCTCCCCTGAATGTCTTTCGGGGCTGATGATGTCATTGATGGCTTCAGCTAAAGTCAGGGGCAAATTTCGTATCAGCATTTCAAATAAGATGACTCTCAAGATAGGGATAACTTCTTGCAGAATGTGTATAAATAAACCACCCCTCCAGAAAGCTCCTCCACATAACCAAAGGTAGCCTAATTTTGGCGCAATCTCCACAGTCATCTCAGGGATACATGATCCAATGGTGATGCTTCCTTAAACATTTAAAAGTTGCTAATCGTCCTCCCTATGGTGCAAGGTACCATGTTTTCGGGGGGGGGGGGGCAAGCTAATGCCTGGCTTCCACACAGAAGGTATAGTCCTGAGGGCATATGTGATACCTGTTTACAGCTGTTGGGGCCTCCCAAGGAGGACTTACATTATTCAGGGAACAGGTTGACAGTGTCACTGAGGCCACCGGGGCACCTGGAAGGCTTCAGAGTTCCCCTTAACTTAGAATAATTGAAACCAGTCCTTATTTTTGGAAAGACTGCCTAATGGCAGTTGGCCCAAACTCTCCCACAGGTCCACAGCACCAGCCGTGTGGCATTAGTCCACCCCACAGGAAAACAGAGCAATAACTATTAGAATGGGGATTAGGGAGACATCTACAGGTTGTGACGTGTTTTGCAGGAGAGGTATGGGAGCGGAAACGGCACCTGAAGCTTCTGATAGACTTCTCAGTAGGTTAAATACTAAATTATGGTGAGAGCCATCTAGGGGCAGATGTCAAAGCCAGCAGTCACTCAAGTTTAAGGAGTCTGCGATAGTTTGGGAGAGTTGTACTTGCCCATTTTCCTTTGAGACAAAGGCTCCAAGGGTGACTCTTTTTCCAAATGTCATGATATAGGATCACGTCAAACCAACATGAGAATTCAGGTGCCTGAACCAGAACTGAATGAGAATATTCTAGCCTCCTTTGGCCAGAATGCCACCTGGAAGTCGTAGCAACAAGGCAGGCCTGTGAATATTGTTACAGCAAAGATAACATCGCACCTAGCGCTAGTGGGGCAGAATACTGAATTTTCGGAATACATCTACGCAATACTATCTCCAGCCCTTCTCATTCTGATCACTGCACCATTGGCAGCTATGATAGTTCATTTTACATGTCAATTTGACTGGGGCACAAGGTCCCCAGATACTTGGTTAAACATCATTTTGGGTCCATCGGAGGGTGTTCCTTGATGAGATTACTATTTGACTGAGTAGACTCAGTTAAGTAAACTGCCCTGTCCAATGTTGGAGACCCGAATAGAACAAAAGTTGGGTTAAGGGAGAATTCATTCTGTCTGCCTGTCTTCAAGCTAGAATATGAGTCCTTACTTGTTTCTGGACTGGAACTTATACCATCAGTTCTCTTGGTTCTTGGGCCTTCGGATTTAGACTGGAATTATACCACTGGCTCTCCTGGGTCTCCACCTTGCAAATGGCAGATTAGGGGACCTTCCAGCCTCCATAATCATGTGAGTCATTTTCTTATAATACATCTGTTTATATACACACAAACTATTGGTTCTTCTTTTCTGGAGAATTCTAGTATGTAACAAGGAAGTGACTGCTTTCTGGGGATAGCCATATTCAGTGGCCAAACTGCCTTACAAAGGTGTATTGTATCAGGATGAGGTAGTAGACATCTTCTGAGTACATTTTTTGAGTAGGCAGTCCCAACATATGACAGTTGATGCTTGGGGATGGAGAAGCGTAGGGTCCATCAAAGACCTTAACTATCTGCCCTCTTTTGAGTGATTTTTGCAATAAAAGATTCACCATTGTCAAATTGTATGCAGTCAGGAAAAACAGAAACACGAGACAGATAAGTTTCAAAATCAAAACCGTGTGGTTGGAGTTGGCTGATTGACTAGAACAGCAACACTGTAAACTCTAACCTGAAAAAGTGTCAACGGTGTTGAGGCACTACTGATAACCCCAAGAGGGAACCAAATGTCTGACAGTCAGTCAGGAGTGGGAGAAGGCCATGCCTGTGCTATGTGGTTTCACTCATGGTTAGACAAAGAAGACTTTTAATAGGAGTCACAAGCCTGGCTTGTGTCACTACCACCTGGTAGTGCTGACCTCTGCATCAGAAGCATAAATATTTTATTCTGTGCCCAGGCTATGATGGTGCATGTAAGGGTGTATCTGGTATGATGATGAATCCAGGCAGTGATGGTGGCAATCAGGCTCCATCAGCAGCTTGATTCCCGGTTGGTCTCATCAAGAATGAACCCCCATGGTGGGCATATACATGTGACCCAGACAGTTGAATAACTGCAATTCATTTTTCGTTTGTGGCCCCCAAGAAGAGTGTCTTTAATCTGACAGTCTTCCAAGTGACAGACCAGAAGACTAGGCCATTGACAATAGCCTGAGTTAGTAAAAATGTAACATGTCTGGTCCCTAGGGATTGTCTAGGACATGGTAAGTTTTCAATTCAGCCCATTGTGCTGATCAGCCTTCACTGCAGTCAGTTTCCAGAATGATCACTTGACACCATCAGCTCTTAACTTAACTGGACCATCAGTGAACCAGGCCCAGGCATTTGATCAGGGAAGTCTC